CTGAAAGTGAAGAGGGCTTGAAGCACTTACTGATGAAGATCAAAGGCCACAGCCTTCAGCATGGATTGCACCTCAACATAAAACAAAAATCCTCACAACTGGTCCAACAAGCAACATCTTGATAAACAGAGAAAAGGATTGAAGTTATCAAGGATTTCTTTTTACTTGGATTCACAATCAAAGCCCATGGAAGCAGCAGTCAAGAAACCAGACGACACATTGCATTGGGCAAATCTACTGCAAGAGATCACTTTAAAGTGTTAAAAAGCAAAGTTGTCACTTTAAAGATTAAGGTGCACCTGACCCAAGTCATGGTGTTTTCAATGGCCTCATATGCATGCGAAAGCTGGACAATGAATAAGGAAGACTGAAGAAGAACTGATCCCTTTGAATTACGGAGTGTTGGCGAAGAATATTGAATATACCATGGACTGCCAGAAGAATGAACAAATCTGTCTTGGAAGAAGTACAACCAGAATGCTCCTTGGAAGCAAGGATGGCAAGACTACATCTCATGTTCTTTGGACATGTGATCAGGAGGGACCGTTCCCTGGAAAAGGACATTATGCTTGGTAAAGTAGAGGGTCAGTGAAAAAGGAAGACCCTCAATGAGATGGATTGACACAGTGGCTGCAACAGTGGGCTCAAACATAGTAATGATTGTAAGCATGGCCCAGGACCCGGCAGTGTTTCATTCTGTTGTACACAGGGTCACTATGAGTTGGAATTGACTCAACAGCACCTAACAACAACAACATATTTCTCAGTGGAGCCCTGGTAGCACAGAGGTTAAGAGCTCAGCTGCTAACCAAAAGGTCAGCAGTTCAACTCCACCAGCCATTCCTTGGAAACCCTATGGGGCAGTTCTACCCTGTCCTATAGGGTCGCTGTGTGTTGGAATCGACTTGACGGCAATGGTTTTGTTTTTAATACTTTCAAGTTGAATAACAAAATTAAATTGTGTAATTAGAATCCTCAGCATAAGGAATAATTTATCACAATTCTTAACACCTCATTCTGTAAGTTGTTAGAAAGTAACTGTAGCAGAAACAAATAAGTCTATCGCCTCATTTGTCATCAGTGTGTTAAGATGTAGTGCATAGGTCATACTTTGCACAAATCAACGTGTTAACATTTGTTACTGGTAATTTAGGGGTACATTGTCAGTGAAGATTATTCTGTTTCTGTATTCTGGGCCATATGCTAGTCCACAGAGGGCCCTGGCTAAGTAAAGGAAAGGTGACCTGACAGCAGATAAATGAGGAAAGAGGCTGCTTCCTCCAGTGTCCAGGGCTTGGCAGGCAGGATTTCAGCCTCCTTCACCATCCTGGCAAGATGCCTCCTGGGCCCTTACCAATTAGGAGGATGAAAATCTGATTGCCAGTTCCAGAGGTGGAGCTGGAAGCAAGTTCTTTCTCCTGCAGACATGAAGGTATTGTCAGAGGCCCAGACTCACGCATTCTCCTGAAACTCAGGGAAAAGCAAGAGCAAGGTCACAAAGAGCGCAGTGAGGGGTCCAGGCTGTACCACATCCAACAAGGTACAAGGCCCATGGAGGTAGAGGTGGGAAAGGGCTATTCTGACATCCAGCGAGGGTGGGGTGAGGGTAGTAGGGAAGTCTTGAGGACCATAGGTCCTTCCTCTCCACAGCAGTGAGCCTTGGCAGGGGCTGCACCCTGGCATAGGTCAGGACAGTGTTTGGCAGCCCTGGACTGTGCAGAGGCATATCATCAGGCCTTACCTGTCACAGGCGCAGCCTGGGGTGATCCTGACCCTCACAAAAGGGGTCCAGGTATCAAAACGCCAGCCAGCTCCATCATGTCCAACCCACCAATCCCTCAGGAACAGTCAGCCAAAAGCCAGTCTTACACTTATTTCTTTCCAGTGCTGGGGCCCAAACACCAACTGTTACCGTAATCAAGTCACACTGGCCAGCTTTATGGCTGAGGCCTCACAACGGCCAACTCAGGAACCAGGGGTGGGGGCTGTCCCAGGTATTCCTGAATCTGAACTGAATTTTCCATTTCCTCCTCCCATTTTCAGGTTAATTTAAAAATATTTTATTATAGAAATATTTTATTACACACAAAAGCAGAAAATATAATGGACCACTGTGGACTTACCACCCAGCTTCAACTCATATCGACTCATGGCATTCCTAAAATTTGTATGAAAATTCAAGAGACTCAGAATAGCCAAAACTATCTTGAAAAAAGAACAAGGTTGGAGGACTCACACTTTGCAACTTCAAAACTTACAGTAATAAAAACAGTGTGGTACTGGCACAAGGATAGACATATATATCAATGGAATAGAAGTGAGACTCCAGAAATAAACGCATACATCTATGGTCAGTTGATATTCGACAAGGGTGCCAAGACTATTCATGGGTAAAGAACAGTCTTTTCAACAAGTGGTGCCAGGACAACTTCATCTCCCTGTACAAAAGAATGAAGTTGGACCCCTACCTCACACCATATAAAAAAATTAACTCAAAATGGGTCAAAGATCTAAATGTAAGAACTAAAACTATAAAACTCTTAAAAGAAAACAGGTGTAAATCTTTGTGACCTTGGGTTAGACAATGATTTCTTAGATATGACACCAAAAGCAAAAGCAAAAATAGATAAATTGGACTTTATCTTAAATTCACAAAAATTAAAAACTTTCGTGCATCAAAGGAGATCATCAAGAAAGTGAAAAGGCAACCTACAGAATGGGAGAAAATCTTTGCCAGTTGCATATCTGACGAGGGGCTTATATCTAGAATAAAGAACTCCTACAAATCAGTAATAAAAAGACAAATAGTCCAATCAAAAATGAGCAAAGGATTTTAATAAATATGTCTCCAAAGAAGATGTATAAATGGCCACTAAACACATGAAAAGATGCTCAGTATTATTAGCCATAAGGGAAACACAAGTCAAAACCACAATGTCACATCCATTAAAATACATGTAATAAAAAGGACAGACAATAGTAACAGCTGACAAGGATATGGAGAAATCAGAACCCTCATACACTGCTGGTGGGAATGTAAAATGGTGTCTCCACTTTGGAAAACATTTGGTAGTTCCTCAAAATGTTAACGTAGAATTACCAGATGGCCCAGCAATTCCACTTCAGGTAGAGACCCACAATAACTGAAAATAGGTGTTTAATAAAAACCTTGCACATGAATGTTGCCAACAGCATTACTGATTGTAACCAAAAAGGAGAAACAATCTCTGTGTCTAGCAACAGGGGAATGGATAAATAAAATGTGGTGCATCCATACAATGGAATATTACTCACCCATAAAAGGAATGAAGTACTGACCCATGCTACAACATGGTGCAAACATTATGCTAAGTCAAAGAAGTGAGACACCAAACACACACTGTATGATTCTATTATATGAAATGTCCAGAAGAGGTAAAGCCACAGGGACAGAAAGGAGATGAGTGGTTGCCAGGGCTGGGAGGAAAGAGGCACAGGAGTGACTGCCAATGAGTAGGGGATTCTTTTTGGGGCAATGAAAATGTTCTAAATTGACTGAGGTGATAGTTGCACAACTCTGTGAATATACAAAAAATCACCGAATTGTACACTCTAAAATGCTGTTGTTGTTAGGTGCCGTCGAGTCAATTCCGACTTATAGAGACCCTATAGGACAGAGCAGAACTCCTCCATAGGGTTTCCAAGGAGCGGTTGGTGGATTTGAACTGCCAACCTTTTGGTTAGCAGCTGAGCTCTTAACCACTGCACCACCAGGGCTCCATGTTAGGGATATATACTGTATTTTTTACAGAAGAAATCATAGATTATAACATTTGCATTAAAATATGCCAGCAAAAAAAAAAAAAAAGTGCAAGAGATAGGCAATAAGTAAAATAAATTTGGCAAAATGTTGACAACTGTTAAAACTGAGTGATGACTATATAGGCGTTTATTATTCCATTCACTCTATTTTTGTGTATGTTTAAAACTTCCATTAAAAAAAGGAAGTATTCAATTTATTATAAATGCATACAAATTTTGGTTTTATACTTTGCGAGATATTTGAAAACTTCCATTTAAAAAAGGAGGTGTTGTGTTGGTTTTGTACTATTCATAACAGATGTACACAAATTTTGGTTTTATGCTCCTGCAAAAGTTATAAGCATGCTGAGTTTGTAACTGTTTGTACACAAATAATGGCATAATAATAATTGTAATCAATACCATGGGTCTACTGCTTCTACTCTGAAATTTCTCCTGCCCCTTGGATGTGGAAAAATCAGGGACTACATATTAGCGCTGGTCCGCTTCTAGGTAAAGCCCTTTTGAAGGACATTAGGATGTTATTATATTATCAATATTTCAATTAGAATCTAAGGGTCTTATAAGAGATGGTGTATTACACATTGCCGACTGAGACAATGATAGCTTAAACCTCTATTCCAATTTTTTTTTAAATGTCAGTGACTTAACTAAACTTCACTGAAGTCTAGAGTTGTATTTCCAGCTATAGGCAGGGCTTTGCATTTCCACAAATATTAGGAACCTGTACGAAACACTCCAGCACGGTGGCAGGTGCTGGGGTTACTGTTGGTACAGAGGAGCAGTAAATGTAGCTGAACTCCAAGGATCCAGAGCAGAGGCTGTCCTCTCCCCTCCTGGAAATGCTCCATCTCCTCAGAGGCAAGGGCGTCTCACCAGGCTCAGGCAGAGCCCTCCAGGACCCTGCCCCTTCCTCCCAACCCAGTCACTGTCCCGTTTATCTCCCTTCTATCACCTGTTGCCATTCTGCCTGCTACACCACTAGATAGGTCTTTACAGCCTGAAGCTGGAGTTACTCCACAACATCCCCTAGAACCCCCTCCCGTCCATTCTCCACCCTTTTCCTTTGGAGATTTCCAAAGCAGTGCCATGTTTCACGTTTGTCTCAGAGCCCTGGTGTGCTCTACGATGCTCACACCAGGTGTCCCCTGACGGGGGACAGAGCCGATATGACACAAAAGAGGTTAAAGCCCATTCACCGGGGTATTGCTGTCAGGAACTTGGGGGCCACTTTCTCCTCTTTCCACAGATCCCTCAGGGCCAGCAGACATTCAAACAGGCAGAGCTGAGAACAATAAGGCCTGTGTCACAGTCCAGAAATCCCCATGCCCAAGCTCTGCAAATCCACCTCTGCCTAAAAGAAAAATAAAATGGCGTCAGGAGCCAACCACGATCTGCAGGGACAATGGAGAAAGTAGGTCATATGCGTCCTACAACCTCTGCACTCAGAGTGTTTTTGCAGAAACGGGGCCAGGCCTGCGACTCAGGAGTCCCATGATACCAAATTCACAACGAGGACACCCCTACTTTAATGCCTGGAGCCACAGCTTGCACTGGGACATGCAGGGACATGCAGAGATAAAACAACATTCCCAAGGCCATTCTGGGTCACAGAGTGTGAAGAACTCTCTTCCGCAGCTCTTTGTGGAAGTGATTATAGACACGGTAGTCTTGACTTTGCTATCCCAGAGGCGAGTCTCCTGTGGAAAGTCATTTCACCCCCTAACAGCTGGAAGCTTAGAGGAAAACGCTCGTCTCTTCCTGAGCTTCGGGGTTTCTCAGAAGCAAAGTGTGTGTGGGGGGGAGGGGTCCTTTGGGAATCCACAGCGGGTAGCTGGAGGCATAGCCCACCCTGCTGCCCAGGACAATCTGCCTATCCCTCCAACAGCACAGCCATTGGTCCACTTACAAAAAACTCCTCTGGGCCAGAGGTAACGGTGGCCTCCCAGAAGCATCTACAACAAAAGTGAGGATACACGACTCTGCCTCCTCCGAAGTATAAGCCACACCCCTGAACCCAGGGATGCCAGAACTCACCATCACGCTAAAGACCAAGACACGTGACTCCCACTACACTCCAAATGCTGCTGCGCCGGGTTCCCGGTTCCAATACCCCTACATCCCCAACCCGCGAACACATGGATCTAGACGCTCTCACAAAAGTCTAACGCTACGCAGTCCAGGCGCGCCTCCAGAACACCCTGCCTCACTGGTCCCCTCCCCGCTAACAGGGGTTGCAATGTCCCAGATGTACCCCAACCACGATGAGCTGCACGGGCTGCCCCCTGAACACAAGGGCCCCTCACCCCTACCACCAACCCAAGGGAGCCTGGCAGTCAACCTGGGGACAGAGTCGCAGCAATCCGTCACAACTCTACTAAACCCAGATGCTCCCCGTGCCATCCCTCCCCGCCACCCCCGGGCGCCGGGCTTTCCCCGCCACGCGCTTCCCACGATCCTGGGACCCCAGCTACTTCCACTTCCCACAGCCAGGGAAACTGGTGGACTCACCTCTCCGGACGTCTGCCCGGAACTGGGCGAATAGGCCACCACCGGGAGGCCCACCCGCGCAGATGACCTAGAAATGGACTCAGCCGGGCCGCACGCTGCACCTGGAAGCACTGGGTTCCGGCGGAAGGACCACATCTCCCAGAAGCCCCTGCGCGAGCGGGGGCGCGCTCCAAGCCGCGTCCCGATTCGCGGGGTGGGCGTGGCTCCGCCGAGCTCTGAGCACTTGGGACTGGAAGGGTCTCACTTGGGAGCCACCTTATTGGGAGGGTGGATACACAAAAGCACTAACAAGTGTGTTTTCCTATCGTCTACAATCAGGAATTAAAAAAAAAAAAAAACAAACCTGTAATTCCTCCATTCACACATAGCTGTATCTATATTAAAGCTTTCTTTTTTGTAAACGTTGATGACCTCTTAAACTGCTTTTTAAATCAAATATAGAGTGAATATTAAGTGCTCTTCCACAATATTTTAAAAATTCTACATTCCACTTATGTAATTAATGTCTTTTTATCTCTGGGTTATTCCAAATTACTGACGTGACAACATAACTCTTCCACGCGGCTTGTCAGTTTTTCGAACTATGGGGGTTTCCATGTTGCTTTGATGCTGTATTCAAATACCAACAGGGTCGCCCAGGGTGGACACGTTTCAGCTGAGCTTCCAGACTAAGACAAGCTAGGAAGAAGGACCTGGCAGTCTATTTCTGAAAAAAACTAGCCAGTGAAAACCTTATGAATAGCAGCGGAACATTGTCTGATATAGTGCTGGAAGATGAGCCCCTCAGGTTGGAAGACACTCAAAAAGTGACTGAGGACGAGCTGCCTCCTCAAAGTAGAGTCAACCTTAATGACATGGATGGAGTCAAGCTTATGACAAGTTCATTTGCTGATGCGGCATGACTCAAAATGAGAACAAACAGCTACAAACATCTGTTAATAATAGAAATGTGGAATGTACAAAGTATGAATCTAGGAAAATTGGAAATCGTCAGAAATGAAATGGAACCCATAAACATGGATATCCTAGGTAATAGTGAGCTGAAATGGACTGGTATTGGCCATTTTTAATCAGAAAATCGTATGGTCTACTATGCTGGGAATGGCGAATTGAGAGGTATGGCATTGTATTCATCATCAAAAAGAACATTTCAAAAACTATCCTGAACTTCAGAATGCAATGCCATACCTCTTCAATTTGCCATTTCCAGCATAGCAGACCATACGATTTTCTGATTCAACAACGTTGTCGGTGATAGGATAATATCCATACACCTACAAGGAAAACCAGTTAATATGACTATTATTCAAATCACACACCAACAACTAAGGCCAAAGATGAAGAAGTTGAAGATTTTTACCAGCTTCTGCAGTCTGAAATTGATCAAACATGCAATCAAGATGCATTGATAATTACTGGCGATTAGAAGGTGAAAGTTGGAAACAAAGAAGGATTGGTAGCTGGAAAATATGACCTTGGCAATAGAAACGGTGCTGTAGATGACATGATAGAATATTGCAAG